TAGCATACATTATACGAAGTTATACGATTTTTTTTTGTGGCCAGTAAGGGGATCATAACCCTTGGCTTGGTGTTGCCCGCACTGCGCTCAGCCAGTGAGCACACCGGCCACCCCTATATGGGATCTGAACCTGCGGCCTCAGCGCTCCCAGCGCCGCACTCTACCAAGTGAGCCACGGGGTCGGCCCAACAGTGATCTATTTAAAAGTGATAATTAGGAGTCTGAAACAGGTATGAAAAGTTTTTATTATCAGCATAGTACAATATTCATGAATTCTATCAAGCAGTCTCCAAAATACATCCTCCAAGGGGAGCAAGTCTCTTTTATACATTACAAAGATGTGTAACATATGCCTGGGAAAACCCAACCTCTGGTTTTCACTACCCCTTGTCTTTTCTCTCTTCCTCTTCCCTTCCTTTGCATTCAGATGCCCCTTCCTTAAATCCTAAGATCCTTTTGTAAGCAGTCCTTGCAACTGATGAGTTGAGCGTTGTTTTGTCCTCTTTATAAAATTGTTAGCATCTGCTGGAACTTCTGTTTCTTCATAGAGTTTTCCTTTGTTTTTCCCCAGATGGCTCTTTTTATTAATCAGCTTATTTGGGGGGCAGGTCAGTTTGCTGGGGATAGGAAAATGTTGAAAAACACAGCAAATACGACACATGCTAAATAAGCAGCAATTGCTATCCAAAACCTTGGATCTCTCAGCAGAGCCTTGTCAAAGCAGCTAAACACAGTGTAACCTATGGACATTCCAGCAAATCCACCTGCAATGTGAGCTGCAAAAGACACCTTTGGAGAAAGGGGGAGGAAATGGAAATAAGTGAAGAAAATGCTAATTGCAGATTTCAGTTGCTTCTTTCTTACTCAAACACAAATACCATCATTGTCAAACAAGTCTTAAAAATCTGGAGACCGAGGGAGCAAGGCAAAAGAGATGCAAAACTCCATGTGCACAGAGAGAAGGAGATGTTCTAAAACATGCAAAGCTTTAAAATGTCATTTCACCCACTCTCTGAGTACACAAGACAGAGCCATTGTTTCTCCTTGAACATCATTGCATTTAAGGTGGTTCTATATAATGCCAAGAAAAGAGCAGGAGTTGAGGTGCCATGAGGGATCTCTATAGGAGCATAATTTGATCCCATATAAATGAGATTTCAGAATTAAAACACAAGCAATAACATACACCCAAATACTCAAATAGAAACTACCAAGTTCAGAGACATCCCAGCAAAACTGGAAATCAGTTTTCTTTGTATCATAAATTCATATGGTCCAAATTTTTATTACTGTTTTCCAATCTGCTTTTTATCTCTGTGGACAGGGAAATCCCTTCTGTCCTATTTTGGCAGAGCTACCAATAGGTGGATGCAGCAAAGTAGAGCCCAGTGATCAGGGCTATGAGAGAGTTAAGTGACAAGGACAATCCAAAAGTCTGATTTCCTTAGGAATTTTTTTAACTTCCAAATAGAAATTTGACTACTCTAAATCACAGTCATAACCCCTATTTGATGACCCATTCTGATGGATAAACAAATTTTTATATTAAAAAAGGACAAAACTGAACTCACCGGAGACCCATTTGCAGGGACAAAGAACCTTCTGTAGAGAGCAAATCCCATGTCCGACGCAACTAGAAGGAAAAACGCCCTGATGAAGCCCCAGGATCTTTACAACAGTGTGCCAAATGCTTTTGGTTCCTCTCTAATAATAGTAATAATAGCTAACATTTATTGAGACACTATGCCATGTGCTGTTCTAAGAGCACTACATGTATTAATTCATTAATCCTCACAACAATCCTATGAAATAGGTATTGTCATCCCATTTTACAGATTCATTCATCCAGAAGTATTTATTGATCATCCTCTACATGCTGGGCACTATTCTAGATGGTAGATGTACAACAGTGAACAGATGAGACAGCCCTCCCTCCTGGAGCTGATGGTCTAGTGGGGGGAGGCAAACAAATAAGTACAACAGAGTATGTCAATTGTGCAACGTGCTACGGAGAAAATGCAAATAGAGGAAGGAGAATGCGGAATGCCAGGAGGACAGTATGATTTTTAATAGGAGGGTCAGGGAGGATCTCCCTGAGAATATGACATTGGACAGAGATAAGGGAGCAGGCCATGCTGATATGTGAAGTAAGAGTCTTCCAGGCAGAGGAAAGAGCAAGCACAAAGTCCCTGAGGCAGGAACATGCCTGGTATGTTTGAGGAATACCAAAGCAGTCGATCTGGCTGTATCCATGATTTTCACAGTCTAGTTCTCCCCCAAAACCAGCAGCATCAGCATCACCTGGGAACTTATTAGAAATGAAAATTCTCCAGCCCACCCCAGACCTATTGAACCAGAAACTCTGAGGGTGGGGCTCAGCATTCTCTGTTTTAACAAGACCTCCAGGTGATTCTGAACTAGAGTTAGGGATAAAGTGGTAGGTGATGAGATCAGACAGGTAGCAGGGACAGATTATGTAGGGGCTACTGTAAGGACTTTGACTTTGAGTGAGTGACAGGAAGCCTTTGAAAGCTTTTGAGCACAGGAGTGACGTGATCTGAATTGTTTCTAAAAGATCACTCTGGCAGTTATACAAGAATTAGACTCTCAGGGAGCAAGAACAGGAGACCATCTAGAATACTACTATTGCAGCAAAACACGTGAGGAAGGAGGGTGGTAATTTATATATAAAGAAACCAAGACACAGAGGTCAGTACTTGCCAAAAGCCACGCAGCTGAAAAGCAGGGACAGATTTGAATGTTAAGCAGTCTGCTGCAGAGGCTCCACTCTCATTCACCACACTAATGGCCTCTAACTACCATCAGGAGTTACTGGATAAGCCACAAAAGGAAATGAGTCCACATTCTCTGATGGCACCATGCGAGTCAGAACTTAGACATTCTTCAAGTAAGTCAGCTCTGTGCTGCAAAAGGAGCTCCCAGGTTTCTTGTCCTAGAGGAACTCTGCCCTATACGTGCTATGCTTGAAACATCTCTTGCAGCTATCTCATTTCACACCCATCCCCAAATTCCCTCTGCTCTACTTAGCAAGCCACTGTGTCCTAGGAGATGGAAAAACCTAGTCCTTGCCTTTGGGGAAATAGCATCAGGACCATGTGTTCTGGCTAGTTTCCCTTTAAATACTATATTGATGTTGAAGTCACTGGACAGAAATTGAGGTCGAGGAAGTCCTCAATATTAATCTAATTGTAAATGACTATTACACAAAATGCTGGATAAATGAAGCTGTATCATATTTTCCATCATCATTTGCATTTCCTGATCCAGCCTAAACAACACACAGATAGGACTATGGAAGTATAAGAAAACCTTTTCCAGAGAACAGGACACGCTTAACTGGAATCAGTTACTTTGGTCTAGTCTTCCACAGTAGGAGGCCTCCTCTCAAAAATTCTTTGTAGCCATTTGTCAATTTCTCCATCCTAGTTCTCTCTTGTTTATCTTGCCCCCTTCCTAGGGGAGTTTGCTTCTGGGTTGCTGCAGCCTCTAAACTAAGACATGTCTTCCCAGCTAAAAGGAAACCCTTATTCCAATAAACCAAATGTTTATCCTCATAAAAAATGTGACACTCACTTTAAGAGAGTTGCTTTTATAAGGATATTTTTAAAGGATAAAAACGTGAGATTTCCATAATTTTTCCCAAAGGGTAGTTCGGTAGCTTAGTTAGAAAACACATCCTAAAAATAATGCTTGATGAGGGAAGGTTCTTAAAGCCAATTGTCCTTCACAATTAACATGAATATTTACCATTGAAAAACGAAACAAAACTGAATACATGTTTCCAAGGAAATGTGTTTCAAATAAAAATATATTTGTATCTTATTCATCTGGTGTGTGCTGAAACTCTTTTCATTTTCAATAGTAGGTAAACCAGGCCAAAGAAATTTTAGAAATGACATGTGCCAGGAATTGGGGAAGGTTAACATTAGCATATCCTTACCTACGCATAAGATGTTGGTAGGATATCATAAAAGTGCATCATTTATTGATTTTATTACTTACCTCAAGAATGACATAATACTATATAACCTGTCTTTGAAGATACTCTGTGTATGAAGAAAGGGTTTTTACTCCAACATTGAAGAGTATTACAGAAGGGCATTAAAACCATTTCCCCATTAAGGGTATGAGGCTTATCTTACAAAAGTCACTCATAATTACCTAAAAGAAGCAGATTGACCAAAGACCTAGGTAACTTGTGTGACAGCATTTTTCTTGGTCAAATGATTCAACCCTTGGCTCTGGTTGTGACTGTTAAGTCAGGAGACAGCCCTGCTTCTACAGCAAGCCTCCTAGCTTCCAGACGCTTGCTCTCCTTTCTCTGCCAACAATTTTCCTTTTCTTTTGGATTTCTTGTGGAGAAAAAAATTCTCTACAGTATGGTATAAACTATAAACAAGTGAATTATTTTATCTCAGGATGAAATATTGGTGTTTTTTACAGTTAAATGGTTCATAAACTAAATTTAGTCTCTGTCTACAGAGGTAGTTGCCCTAGTTCCCATAATGTGCATAAATGAACTCTTGATACTAATTAGAATGGTTTTTTCTTACTATGTGCACAGCCAAAATCTCAGGATTTATCAAGCGTAACTTCTGCCTTAGCTTTCAAGTCTGACTGTACAGTCTGACCCCACAGTCTGTCCTTCTCCCCTCAGCCCTCCGTGTGGATAGAGCTTCATCTGGAGCAGGTCTAGAAACACAGGTTACTACCCTGCCTCTGCTCTTGTTTTCTTCTACCTTGTATGGCCTGCTATCATCCAAAATCTACCCCTACTTTCAGACTCAGCTAAACTTCATCCCCTCTCCAGATTGAGTGTTCTTCCTAAACTCCTTTGGCGTGTAATTCTTAAATCCTTGGAGATTTCAAAAGCCACATTAATCACACTCCTAGTTTCCGGGCCTCTCAGTTCCTTTACCTCCACTCTCTTATCTTCAATCCTCAACCACTACATGATGCTTAGATCCTAAATCTGAATATTTAGAAATTTAGAAAATTTAGAAATTGAAGAAGATAGAGTACATCAGTGGTCTCCAAGCTCTCCCTTTGCAGACAAACTCATGTACAGATTTCCAATATATGAAAGAGAAAGTCCATCTATAAACCATAAATGAAGCTATTGTGGTTGAAGTAGAGGGGGTACTTGGAGCTCTACTCTCTTGGCTTCCCCCACTCAAGAAAGAAAAAAAGCAAAAACACATCACTGGGGGCGCAAGTCTAAGAACCACTCGTGAGGGTCTGTGAAAATTCTTCCATTTACCGTTTATGCTTAGGGCTATGAAGCAGACAATTCTTTCTGGCTCAATGGCAATCATCCTCCATGTTAGTGTTTGGGAAGTGTGAAAAGGCCTTCTGTGGTTGAACCCATAAAATTAAAGGTATGAAGCATTCACAAAACACACTTACTTATAAGGATGATGATCAGTAGTCTCACAATTCCAAATGCAGGAATCATTTCTCGAAAGTTCTTGCAAAGAGATAAATAATAATAATATAAGCTATCTATTTGCAAAGGAAACCTCAGATCTACTCCCTCTTCATCTGCTTTTCAATTAAAATAATATTGAGTGTAAAATACTTGCAAAACAAAGCATGGGTGTACAGTTTCAAATGTATTTGGGAAGTACCATGCCAGTGCACTTTGGAGAACAAGATGAAACGAGGTTTAATTTCATGAAATGAACGAGACACAATTTTATTAGCCAGAAATAATCTAAATATAGATAATATAAACCAATCTTAACATATCAATAAATAAAGAGATAAATAAATGCTGTCAAAGTAAGTCTTATGAAATAGTCCCAAGCTTTTTGATTAATATTCATTTGATACGTTTGATTAATATTTGATTGATGAATATTTGATTAATATTCATCCTCTTTCCCAGTACTAGTTAGCAAAGACTTAACTAAAATTTGAATATTACCTTAATTTTTTATCATCTTTTTTAAATTTTATTTTTAATTACCTTAATTTTTTGAGACAGTTTCAAAAAAATTGAAAATGTTAGTCAAAAAATATTGTTTGATTTTAGCTTCAAAAAATCTCAGTCCAGCTTGCAGTACCTCCACATATCATAAGAGAACTGCTAAGTCAGACATTTCTACTTTAATTTATTGAGTTACTTCTCCCTTCCCTTTCAAGTTATTTACTCCCTTTCCAAAGAGTAAAGATGCTGAAATAGTTGTGTTTATTGTAAATAAATTATTTTTCAAACTGTTGTGACCATGACCTAAGGTAAGAAATAATTTATATAACCACCCAGTACACACATAATTCAAACAGTATTTACCCTTATTATACATGATACACACTATTTTTTTCTTTTTGTTTAATTTTTGGCCACAATCCCTTAAACTGAGTTCACAATTACCAATGGGTTGTATCCAAAGATTAAAAACCATTTCTCTAAGTGACTTCTATATTTGGAACAGCTTTATAATTAATTGTTTGATATTTTTCTTCCTAGAGTATATTTAAAGTATACCTAAATGGCTAAAGGATTAAGAACTAGTCAAGATTTTAGCTTGTTTTTAAAAGTGGTTGGCACTCACTCTGTCATGCTATCATGGGAGTATAAAATGATATGCCAATTTTGGCAATTTGGCATATGCATATTAAAATATAAAGCCTTCATCCAATAAATTCACTTCTAGGAATTTATTCTACAAAAACAATGACACAAATGCAAAAAGATAAATGTAAAAAAAAAATCCTGACAGTATTAATTGTAAATGCAAAAAGCTGGAGTCACCCCAAAACTTTTTTAATGAGAGATTCATTAAATAAATTGTGATGCTGCTATATAGAGGATGCTTGGAGCACCTGTGAAGACTGGAGGGATCTCTATGTACTGACATGAGTACATGGTCAGGATACTCTACATTAAGATACAGAACAATATAAGGGTGATTCCATTTTTGTAGTATTAATATTAGTAGGATTTTTGAATACATATAGAAAAAGATCTGAAAGGATATATATATATATATATATATATCAAACTGTTAACAGATACTATATTGGGAACTTGACTTTCTATTTTCTAATTTAAAATTTTATTTAGTATGAATTACTTTTGAGATCAGGGGGAAAGAAGATAAAATATGAAAGGAAAACTCAAGTGGCCATATAATTCTCGGAAAGATAAGTGCTCAGTAAATACTGATAAATGAAGACTCCCTTAACTAAATAAGTTATTGTTTGTTTGTTTGTTTTTTAAAAGGTCCGTAGGGCCGGCCCAGTGGTGCACTGGAGAGTGCACCGCTTGGGAGCGCAGCGGCGCTCCCGCCGAGGGTTCAGATCCCATGTGGAGACCGGTTCCCACTCACTGGTTGAGCGCGGTGCGAGCGCAACACCAAAGTTCTTACCACTAGAACATTCATAAAATAGCCTCCCATCAGAGCATAGACTCCTCCTGAAGCACCCACAAGAGATTTGAGTGGGTCAAAGACAGAGCTGGCAAGGGATCCTAAAGAAATAAAAGACAAAGGATCAGATATGACTATAAGAATCATGAAAGATAAATCCTAATCTAAGGTAAAAATTTGGGAAGTTTGGACCATTATATTAACAAGAAGCAACAAATTCATTCTGTCCTTTCCATACTGTAGAAGTACAGCGAGGTAGGCTAACTACCTCAATTTCTCTGAAATATTAAATATTCATTAGAAAAGCAGTATAACAGTGACAAGAGCACAGACTCTGGGGCCAGAATTATCATCTGTGTGACTTGAGGAAGTTACTTAACCTCTCTGTGCCTCAGTTTCCCTACCTACAAAATGGGGATATTAATAGAACATACCTCAGTGGGATGTCAGGGGAAGTAAATGAGTTGATATACATATCATGATTAGAACACTGCCTGACATATATTGCATACTTGTTAGCTATTATTTCAAAATATCCCGCACATTTAGTCAAAACTATTAAAATACCTAAGACATTGCAACATTTTATTATCTAATGGCTATCTTTCTCATGGAGCCAGGATGTGGCCTCAGAGTCCTTCTCAACATACCATTCAATCAGATTCCCCAAACAAGATGAAACCTGTTTGCTAACCCAATCCTTGATTTTCTGGACCAAAACAAGGCTTTGCAAATACCTTATGCAAATTCTAAGATGTTCTCTCTGCACTGCTCAGTTCTATTACTTGGTTTCTTCTTTTCAAGGCCCTCCTTCATTCCTTAGGATACAATGTAATACAATACCTACTTTAAGCAAGAAAGACAGTGTCTTACCTTAGGAATCTACAAATAGACAAGCAAACAACTACTATAAAGTGCAAAGTATAACAACTACTATGATCAAAACAATAAATTTGCTGTGAGAGCACTTAGGAAGAAATGACTTTCTCAGCAGAAGGGTGGAAGCCTGCTACTCTGTGGAGGAGGAGATAGCATTTCAATTAAACTTTAAAGAATCTTTAAGATTTGGATAAGGAAAACAAAGGGAAAGAAAGTAGTCAGGACTTAGGGAACTGGAAAAGCAAAGACACAGAAACAAAGGTGTACGGATAACTGAAGATCAGTGAGAAATAGTCCAGCAGGGTTAGAGCAATGATTCTCAAATGTTAACCTACAGACTAGGGCTGGCTGGGGTGCTTACATCAGGATCACATGAGAAATTTATTTTTAAAATATAGATACATATGTTTTCTTCTGGCCATGATGGAGTAACAAGAATAGGATTTATCCTCCCGCTTGAAAAAGCCAAAACCACTGGACAAAATATATGAAACAGTGGTCTTCAAGATACTGGATATCAGACTACAAAGAACAGTAAACCCTGAAAGACAGGAAATAAATTAGGTGAGTTGTCTGTTTGCCTGGGTACTGCCCTCAGAGAGAATACAGGCTGCTGTGCATGAAGGGGGAACCCAGGCAGATCCCAGCAAAAGCTGATAAGACAGACTTTAGAGTCCAGATAGACTTAGGTATCTATAGTTTGCAACACAGGGAGAGTTGCACAAGAAAAAACTCTGGAAAGAGAATGTGAGAAAATTACCCAAGATATATCACGACCAAGTAGTGTTTATCTTTTAAAAAAGCAAGGCTGGTTTAATATTTGAAAATTAATCAATGTAATCTACCATATTACAAATTAAAACAGATAATAAAAATATATTCATCTTAATAGACACAGAAAAAGCATTTGACAAAATCTACACCTTTTCATGATAAAAACACTGAACAAATTAGGAACACTGTGCAAGGAAAAACCCACAGCTAACATCACACTTAATAGTTAAAAACTGAACCTTTTCCTTCTAAGATCAGTCTCTACTTCTATTCAACACTGTACTGGAGATTCTAGTCAGTGCGGTAACGCAAGGAAAAGAAATAAAAGGCATCCAGATTGAAAAGGAAGAAGTAAAACTCTCTCTATTCACATGCAACATGATAATCTATACAGAAAATCTAATGAAATCTACAAAAAAAACTACTAGAAATAACAAGTGAGTTTAGCAAGATTGGAAGATACGAGATCAATATAAAAAAATCCCTACATTTCTGTGATAGCAGTGAAGAACCAAAAATAGAAATTTTTAAACAGTATCACTTACAATACATCAAAAATATGAAATAGAGATAAATCTGACAAAAAGTTGCAAGACTTAAACAATGAAAACTAAAAAACATGCTGAGAGGAATTTTGAAAGACCTAAATAAATGGAAGGATATACCTTGTTCAAGGTTTGGAAGACTCAGTATTGTTAGGATGTCAGTTCTCCCCAAGTTGATCTATAGATTCAATGCAATTCAAATCCAAATCCTAGCAGATTCTTTTTGTAGAAATTGACAAACTAATCCATATGGAAATGCAAAAGACCTAGAATAGCCAAAAACTTTGAAAAAGAGCAAAGTTGGAGTGCTAGCACTTTCTGATTTCAAGGCTTATTAGAAAACTACAGTAATCAAGACAGTATGGTATTGGTGTAAAGATATACAAATACATGAGTGGAACGGAATAGAAAGTACAGAAATAAACACATATAATATGGACAACTGATTTCAACCAAGATACAAAGGTAATTCAGTGGAGAAAGGATTGTCTTAACAAATGATGCTGGAACAGACATCTACATGCAAAAAGATAAACACTTCAATCCATATCTTGCACCACATCTAAAAATGGATCCTAAACGTCAATATAAAGCTTAAAATTATAAAACCTCTAGAAGAAAACATAAGAGAAATCTTCATGACCTTGTGTTAAGCAAAATTTATTTGATACAATAATAAAAGCACAATTCTTAAATTAAAAAACTGAAAAATTAGACTTACTCAAAATTTAAAACTTCTACTCTTCAAAAGATAATGTTAAGAGACTGAAAAGACAAGCCACAGACTAGGAGAAAATATTTGCAAGCCATATATCTGATAAAGGACTTGTAATCATAATGTATAATATATAATGCTATACAGAATAAGGAATATAACCCAAATCATTTAAACAGACCTTTACCAGAGAAGGTACATGACTGGCAAATGAGCACATGAAAAGATGCTCATAGTCATTAGTCATTAGGAAATGCAAATTAAAACCCACTGAGTTATCATTACACACTTAATAGATGGGCTAAAATTTAAAAAACTGACCATACCAAGTGTTGGTAAGAATGTGGAGGAACAGGAACTTCTAGTGAGGATGTAAAATAGTACCACTTTGTTACCATATGACCTCACAATTTCACTCCTAGGTATAGACCCAAGGGAAATGAAACTATATATCCACACAAAAATGTGTTTGCAAATGTTCACAGCAGTATTATTCATAATAGCTAAAAAGGAGAAACAACCCAAATGTCCATTAACTGATGAATGGACAAAGAAAATGTGACATATCCACAGAATGGAATATTGTCCAGCAATAAAAATGAATAAAGTACAATACGTGATACAACATGAATGAACGTTGAAGACATTATGCTAAATGATAAAAGCCAGTCACAAAAGAACACATGTTGTATGATTCCATTTGCATGAAATGTCCAAATGGGCAAATCTATAGAGACAGAAGTAGATTCGTGGTTGCCTAGAGCTGGGACAGGGTTGTGGGGTAGAAAGTGGGGGATGACTGCTAACGGCTACAGAGTCCCTTTGGGGGATAAAAATGTTCTAAAATTAGATTGTGATGGGTGCACACCCTGTAGATTAACTAAAAAACATTCAATTGTCCACTTTAAATGGGTGAATTGTAATGGTATGTGAATTATATCTCAGTGAAGCTATTAAAAAAATTTGTCAGTTTTATAAAAGTTGAACATACCAAAGGTCTTCAAAAGTTCATGGAAGGATTTGTATTATCTTTTAATTCAATTTTTCCATGAACTTTTTGAAGTACTCTCATACCCTACCATAGGATCAATTCCTAGATATCTATCCACAAGAAATGAAAACATTTGTCCACACAATGACTTGCACACAAATGTTCATAGCAAGGACTGGCCGGTTAGCTCAACTGGTTAGAGCATGGTGTTATAACACCAAGGTCAAGGGTTCAGATCCCTGTAGTGACCAGCCACCAAAACAAACAAGCAAATTTTTCATAGTACGTTCATTTGTAATAGCCTCAAAGTGGAAACAACCCGAATGTCCATCAAGAAGAGAATGGATAAACAAATTGTGCTATATATACCGACAATGAAATACTATTCAACAATAAAATGGAATCAACTATTGATACACATAACATAAAATCTCAGAATAATTATGCTGAGTGAAAGAAGCCAGACAATAAAGAGTACATACTGTACAATCTCATTTATATAAAATTCTAGAAAATACAAACTAATCTGTAATGATAGAAAATAGATCAGTGGTTGCTGGGGAGAGGTTGGGGAAGGGGAGTAGGTTGGGGAGGGTGGGACAAGGATGGATTCCACAGAGTCATAAGGAAACTTGGGGGTGTGTGATGGATTGTGATGATAGTTTTGTGGTTATATACACATATCAAAACTTATCAAATCGTACACTTTAAATATGTGCAGTGGATTGTGTATGAATTATACCTCACTAAACAAACAGAAAAACAAAAAAAATACATATCCCAGGACCATATACCCAGAGATTTTGATTCAGCAGATCTGGGTGATATCTGAATAGCTTTATTTGTATCAAGCTCTCCAGGTGATTCTGACCATCAGTCAAATTGGGGGACGCTGCTCCAGAGTGCAGATCCATGCTCCTCAGTCTTTAATGTGTATACAAATCACCTATAGATTTTTTTTTTCCTTTTTGTCTTTTTTCGTGACCGGTAACGGGATTGCAACCCTCAGTGTCGCGCCCATACCGTGACTGGCAACGGGATCGCAACCCTCGGTGTCACGCCCGCACCGCACTCAACCAGTGAGCGGACCGGTCTCTATATGGGATCCGAACCCTCGGCAGGAGCGCCACCACGCTCCCAAGCACCGCACTCTACCGAGTGCGCCACCGGGCCGGCCCAGACCTATAGATTTTTTAA